CAAGGGGTCTGCGACCTGCTGCCTCTCCCATCATAGGATTGTCCGTAGCTTGGACCGAGCGGCTGCCGAAATCCAGAAAAACACAAAATAACTGAGGGATGCAAGGCATGTGATTCTTTTTTTATTAGGTGTGGGTGATGTGTCTCCTGTTTAGGTGGGAGGAGCCTCTTTCTGATCCTGGAATGTGACTAGAGAAATAAGAATTGTGTAACGTTCATTTTTTTTTTCTTATATTAACACAAATTTGCAACTTTAGAATCTTTTCTCAATCATTAAACAGGGATAACATTTGTTCAACTGGGTTCTCATCAGGTTTTAGGACAGTGAAAAAATTATCCAGTTTTAGGTCACACTTTTTTTTTAGAAATATGAAACAAATTGAAAAGGGTTCTTACACTTTAAAACTTTAAGAATTGATCAGAGACGGCAGTTAGAGACATGCTGAGCAGTGGATATGAAGCATCTTCTCCCAACCCTTCCACTTCTCTCCAGTGCCATGGTATTACATTTTCTAAGTCATGTCACCTTTTACTTACTCTTTTGTTTTCTTATGTCATGTTGCCACGATTTTTCTGTGCTCCCTTGTTTATGTGGCAAAGGTCATACAAACTAAGTGAAAAGCTACGGAAGAAGCCAAAGCAATTCAGCTAGGTGTGAAGAGTCAATAATAAAGTGTTGTAGGTGCCTTGCCTCAAGTAGTAACTCAGCATTCGTGTTAGCTGCTTCTTGCTATGATTCGGTTTACTTTGGGTTGAGTGAGTCCGATGTATTAAGCTATTATATTGGCATAGGAAATATAAGAGAGACAAAAGTGACACTAAACTTAAGAGTTAAATCTTAAAAATTCATTCAACCTTAACTATTATCAAAAATGTATCTTTTTAGTGTATCACTCAGCTGTAGATCCTCAAATCTCTGAATTGATGCCGGCACTGTCCTTCCTTCTGAAGGGTGGCTACTTTTGTTCCCTGTGTGTGTTGTAAAGTAGCCACCGCTCCAAGCTCACTCCTGTGATGGACTACAATCTCACATTTGTCGGAATACGCTCCAAGTCTTTTGAGTCATAGGTCACACAAGGCTAAGTTGTAAGAGTCCCCTGCGACAGCAATGATTCGCCTCCTGTAGTTAAATGGAATAAGTCCACAGAACACACCTCAGCTACAGGTGGTAAGCAAGAAGCTGGGTTGAGGATGTTCAACTGGTGTGTCGTGACCCCATGTTCAGTGGGTCACCACATGCCTTCCACTTTTCTTGGTTAGAGACTCGTTTGCCTCCCCCTAGCGCAGAACTGTCAGTTCTTCCGCCCAGCAACCATTCAAAATATGCTAGCTGGCACCGAATGTCAGTTTAGGGTGGGATAGGATGGGGCTATGGCCCCAAGGGAGCTCCATCCATATGTGCATTGCTTATAGCTCTCTCATGTATCCTGTAGAGGTGTCTGGACCAGAGTGACATCACATTCTGGCTCTGTGCACCACTAAAAAGGCACACAAAAAGGAGCTGTAGAAACAATGCACATATGGATGGAGCTCCATCACAGCACAGCAGCTCACACTGGACCCCAGGCTGAGGATCCACTCCAGTTCTTGTAAGATAGATTACGGTGTGGGAGGTGCATTGCGTTGCCATTCATTTGAATGGTACCCCAAACTCACCTCCCAAACTCACCGGAATGTGCGGTAACCTAATGCCCTGCATTCCATTGCGACCTGGGTCGCGACTTAATGACCAAGGACAAATGTGGGTCCTGAGGTTACACAGTTTGAGAACCACTAGTTTGAGACTTTAATTTTTTTTCTTTTTTACACTTAACTTTATTGCTATCACATAGTGATATGTGATTTAGAGGAAGTGGGTTAGAGCGGTTTAAATTTAAGCCTAAGTTGTCCTTAAAAGGTGACCAGACATAGTGACATTTTGAATTGTTTAGAAATGGCCGTAGCATTACACAATTTAGTAGTAGTTCTTAAAGCCCATCTCCAGCCACTTCCTCTATTTAGTTTCAGATGGAATGTGGAAGAGTTAGCAGGATGTTGGCAGGATGGGGTGTGGTGCAACCCCCCCCCCATGATGTCCCATCTTCTGTTGAGAAGGTTGATATGTATATGTGAATGTGTTCTCGGCTGAACATTCCCATACAATGCACAGTGACCATGCCTACTTTACAAATGTTGGTGCATCAGTTACAAATGGAAAATTCTCTTTTAATGAAACAAGCACACTGCATAGTGCTGAATGGACAGCTAAGGATTCTTATTTAAATAAGTCCCACATTTTACAAAGGCCATGTACAGCATACAGCTCACTATGAACAAGGCAGTACAAACACCATGGCTAAAAAAGGTGGAGTATTGGGGGGAGGGGGGCTCTTTACAAATGTCACTTCTAAAATAAAGGTTTGTTAGAGTTTAAGTTTATGGGCAGACAGTTGATTGGATTTCTTTGGTTTCTTGTGCGCAGACTTGGCACTTTTGATCTGCGATCTGACTTGATCTTGCAATTGAGAAAAGAATGCTTGCGAGGACTTCAGCGCTTTATCCTTCCCTTCATCCTGTAACAAAAAATCACGGTTACAATTGCATAATACCCAAAACAAGATAAAGATTCATTTGTGATATTCAGCAGTTTTGATTGCTCATAGGATGATGACAGAATGTATTTTAACTAGGGATGCAACGATATATTGGCCGCCGAAACATATCGTCCGAAATGGCACTTTTGGCTAAATGGCGAAAGTGCAATTTTTGTGCCCATACATCGGCACATCCCTGCTTTTTTTCCTCCCCGCAGGGCGCTGCTCTGTGCCCCAGCGGGGAGGAGAGAAACTGTGATAGCCGGCTGAGCGCTGCGGGACGAGAGCGATGTGAGCGGCCAGGGTCTCTCCTCCAACACCGCTCAGCCTCCTATCACAGTCCGGCAGAGCGTTGTGGCGGCGGAGACAGCCCAAGCTGTCACAGGAGGCTGAGCTCTCCTCCCTGCACTGCTCGCTCAGCCACCTGTGACAGCGTGTCAGGAAGGAGAGCGAGAGCAAACACTCAGCGATCGCTGAGTGTTTGTAGATAATTGAGGACATGGTATGCGTACTATATCCTCAATTATGAATGAATGGGAAGTGATCTGCATCACCTCCTGTTCATTCATAGTTGTGGTTATAGTACGCATACTCTGTCCTCATGTTATCAATGAACAGGAACACTCAGTATAGAGGATTCCTGTTCATTGATAACAGGGGATACAGAAAAAGAGATTGACAACTTTGTGTTGAGTAAATATACGGGGGTCTCTCTTTCCTGTATTTCTATATTGCTTGTATGCTACTTTAAGACTGATAATATACACTTGCAAATCTTTCTTTCGCAGCTGTTGCCATGGAAACGGAAGTTCAGAGCCTGTGACATAGTATATGGACAACCAGATGATAGTTGGCCACCCTTTTCCTTTCATGGAGCCAGAAATAGACCTTTGTGGTCAGAACTGGTCTAAACTGAATATTGATGGGATGGGATCCTGGAAGTTCCTCAATTCGCTAGTCACATGATGTCACCACCCATTTAACTGCTTACTGACTGATAAGATATGAATCTGATTGGACAAACTATACGATCACGCCCAGAATACGCCTATATCTTATGCATATTCAGGACTATAAATTGTTATGTTTGATGCGTTTTTACCAGAAATAGTTCCTCTTTGATTCAGCTTACATAAGCCAACTCATTGTCGTATTTTCCCACTGCAGTGCAAGAATAAAGCACCTATTCTTTTATCGATTTGGACTCACTATCTCATCCATAAGGTCTTGATTGAGGACCCCCTAATCTGACGCAACAGTGTCCCCAATCTCTCTTTCCATTTTAAAAGGTAAATATCAGGGGTCTGTTTAGACCCCCAATATTTCCCCGAAGCCCCTAAAAGTAAAGTAAAAAATAAAAATATTTAAAAAATAAAAATAAAACATAAAAAATTAAAAAGTTTATAAAACAAATAAAAATTTGAAAAAATTACAATAAAAAACATTGTTGGTTTCGGCCTAACAATTTTTTTTATTTCGGTTTCGTTTTTGAAATCTCCATTTCGGTGCACCTCTAATTTTAACAGATTAATTTACATCTATGCCAAAATGTTTTAATAAAGGTTTGAGGTGATGTACATAAACCCCACATCTGCTCTTGTCATTCACAAAGCATCTGCTAGGATCATGTGCAAGATAGATTTTAAAGACACCCTCCTCTCTACAGAAGTACGAATTTCTGTTTGACGCCAGACCAATTTTCCCATATATTCTAAAATGCTCAATATGGACTTAAAATTGTACTAAAGACCCCCAAAAGTGAGTATTTTCTAAAACTAGAGGACCTAAAGAATGAAAAAAGGTAGGCTAAATATTTTTATGTCGCAAATGATTTGTGCAACGTTTCTGAATTTTCAGCAAAAACTGCGCTAAAGTTACTTTTACAACACAATGTAATCTCCAAATTTTCCATTACATTTAAAAAGACAAGACTATGACACATTGATAAATACCAAATATGTCTAGCCTCAAAGTCGCATGTGCTTGTACAATTGGGAAAAGGTAGGCAACACATTTTAGACCTTTGCAGCTTACGTATTTAAACCTAAATAATGGCACAAAATTCTTCTTCTGCCTCTAACATGTGTGGTGATGACGAATATGTGTTGTGCAGTAGGATTTACATGTATGTCCTAGTTATGCATGTGTGAAACATCTGTTTGCAATGTTTTTTGTCACTTATAGAACTTATTGCTCATAAGTTGAACGGTTTTGTTCCCATTGAAATAATTGCAAGGTATACCTATATACAAGTACCTTAACTACTTGCGGACAGGCGTGTGTGTGTATACAACGTCCTGTAAATGAATTCCTGTCTGTGCGCGACCGTGGCTCCCGCTGTCATTAGACAGACAAGAACTTTAGCTTTAGACACAGAGTCAAGCGAAGTAGCTCTGTGTCCTGTGATCAAATATCATAGCAATCACATGGCAATGTTTACAATGCCAAGCCCTCCCCTTCCTCTTACATCAGAGGCAGGGGAGAGTAAAGGAAGAAATGAAAGGATGAGTCATCCATTCATTGCTTCCTAGTAAAAAAGACTTGCACAGCTCTAAAAACTGAAAAATGGCACAGTAATGAAGGGGATTAACATGCAGGTACTGAAGTGGTTTCTGCTTTTCCCCACTTATTACAAATTCACCCCTTGAATCTCTGGATACTTAAAAAAGACAATTCATGGAAGATTCATTTATCTAAATGAAGTCGTGTCCCCAGATCAAGGCACTGATGTTTCTTATGGGCAGCAGACTGACATAAGAAGCATAAGAATGTCAAGGTGCAGCTTTTGCCATTTGCACAGTGCGCTTGGTTTTAGCATTTGTTGTAGAGTAATTATGTTTTGGTACTTGTGAGTATGTATCCCCACCCCAAATATGTGGTTGTCCCCCAACACCTTGCTTCTAGTTTGCAGGAGCACAACACTGATCATGCAGCTTTGATATAACTGGGAGCAACTTTATTATCATCAGAACATCTCATCCTGCCATATAAGAGGCCAGATGAGGCAGCACCAAAAGGGGTCACTTCCATACAACTATGACAAAATGGCCATCTGATTATTTGGAAACCTGGTATGAGCTGTGATCCCCTTTTAGTGGTTGACGGCAGTGAAATAGCCAGTAAGTGATGGAAAGAGACGATTACCTTTAGCACAGTGGCCTTTCCTTCTTTGGTAAGTTTCTTGATGTTGGCTTCTGCTGCTTCTTTTGTTGGCTTCTTCCCCTTCTCTGCCCTCTGTTCCTCTGCCAGTTTTTGACGCTTCTCTTTCTCCTTTATTTTAAACTTTTTCACGGTCTTCTTTTTCCGTCTTTCACGCTTCTTGTCTGAAGCTGTTTTTTCAGCATTTGTTTTTATGTCTCCAGCTTTGTTCTTCTCCTATAAAATAAGAACCAACAAGACTGAGCACTCTGCAAGCCAGAGTAATTCACACTCGAACCCAGCATTCAGCTTCCAAGTACTGCTGTTTTTCCATCACTGTGTCCCACATGATGTGGCTATGTGCATGAATTTCATTTGGTATCTAGATGTAATACATGACTTCTACTTACTTTGATTTCTTCTGGTGCTAGGAGAGCCGCTTCGCTCACTCCTACTGGTGCCACCTCCTCCATACTGATTGCAGGGAGATTCGATACCACCTTCATTTCTGGAACAGGCTGCACAACAAAAACAATTGTTATTGAAAATCATTTTACTTTTTTAGTTTGCTGAGAAACCAGTACATTCGTTTCTAACTTCCAATAAACAGTAGGGGGAATTTATCAAAACTGGAGCAGACAAATTCTGGAGCAGATGTGCACTGCAACCAATCAGCTTCTCTGTCTCATTTTCAAATCTTGCCTGAACAAATTGGAGAGATGCTGATAGGTTGCCATGGGCAACAGCTGTACATTCTGTCTGCTCCAGTTTTGATAAATCCCCCCCAATGATTCTTCTGGCAAGAATTGTCACCTGCAAAGATAGACTAGTGCATACACTGCTTAAGTTTACTCGCCACGATACAAGACGTTACATCATTAGATGGGGCTGCAAAAATTAATATCAGGTAAAGGATGTATTTCCACCATACCTTCTTACTGGATTTGTAGCCAATAATTTGTTTTGCTTTACATCACTGAAAACTAAAATGGCCAGCCTTGCCTCATGATATAAAAGGATTAAAAAAAAAAAGACACAGCTCTGAACAACCCTAGTTCCCCTACTTCTAAAAACATCAATAGCAAAAGCATCCACTCAGAATGACAAGGACTCCTAGCTCTATCCAGTCAGCTTCAAGCTTGACAACAGAGAGGGTGGTCATAAAACAGAAGTAAAAACCTTTTGTGACAAGTTACAACAACTGGTATCAGAACTGAAAATTAGACAATTAAAAAAGGGCTTGATTAAAATGATGTGCCTGCTTAGATATCTGCCCAGCTGTCTGAAAATCCAGAGAGATTACCCAAAGCTCAAGGTCAACTCCATCTTTGTTATCGAGATTTGCCTAACTAAGCTCCCCCAGTTTCAGGGCCACCAGGGAACCTGAGCAGGTACAACCTCATTCAACAAAGCAGAAAAAAATGTTCTTCCCTATTTTTATTATTCATCAAATAATGATGACGGAGTCCTGAACTGGAACTATAGGGGGCTATGTTTAGCAAGATTATATTTAAAGGCAACCTATATTGCAATAAATATACGTTTTTAAAGTATATTTAGGGCAGTCATTTTTATCCATGCTTCACAACAGAAGTCATTATTGCCTTTTAAAAAGTATGTAGGTCGGGTGTGCTGACCCTTCATTTGCTGTGACACCATCAGCAACTATAAATATTTCGAACTCCTCTCCACCATACATATTTTAAAATCAAATGTTGGCTCACTATTAAGACAAAAAAAAAAGTATTACTGGTTTTGGTGTGAATTGGAAATTTGACAAGGCATCGAGCTTCATGAATAGGCTGTCCATTAATTTCTGGATTTCCACATGCTTTGGATTTTCTTCCTCTTCCACTTTTTTCTACAAATAAAAAACAAACAGTTTGACACAACTGACTTTTACTACAGACTCTTTACATACACTTTTATTTTAAAACAACAAATGAGATAAGCCTACCAGCATCCTTTTCCACCAACGGAACTCAAATCCTTAGAACTCAAAACTCTTACCTGGTTAAGTTTTAAGAACTCCTGTTCATAAATCTCTGCTAGACTCAGTTTGCTCTTATCATGATCCAAAGTGAGACGCTTCTTGTACTCAAAGGCATCTTCCTTTGGCTTCTCCTTATGGACCACATCATCCCACACCTTGGAAAGACAGAGAATAAAAGCCTGATACATAGCATGTAAACGAGACCGGTTTAAAGGGGAAAGTCTAAAGAACAAAGCAAAAGCACTTCTAGATAACCATTTCCATTTTATTAAAACTGAATATAATTCATAGTGTAAATATATAATAAATAATATAT